ATAACACAACACAGGTTTGCCATATATATTGTAAACACAAGGTGTGTATCAAAAGTTTATTTTCTAAAAAATTACAATAAAACATAGGAGAATTTCCAGAGGTACTCACAGGTCAGGAATACTGCAAGCTGGTAGCAGGGATCTACTGTAACTACAGTACCAGCCTGTACGAGGACGCTCATCACTGACTCACCACCTCATCACCTGGTTACAAAGGCTACAGTACGTGATAAATTCATTTAAAATACCTTTTTTGTACGTATTTACATCATGTACCTGTATGTTGTTAACACATAACCATGGACTGCAGTGGGGTGTGCAGGAATGACAAGCTGAATTCCAGCTACTTAACTGGATACGATTTGATCTTGCTTCATGAAACAAAAAATCCAGACTTCTTGAATCTTCACACCCTTAGTAATCTAAAAACAACACCTGCTGAGTACACTCTCTGACTGATTTCACATATAGGTACAAAATAGGGTTAATAATTTCTGTTTTAAAAGATTTTAAATTAGTTTTAGAATTTGTATTTGTTGTAACTGTTAATACAATGGTGAATACATTTGTGGTTCTACTGTTTATCCTGTAATATTATGAGTAATACACATGATGTGGTTGGGTCTACAATATTACTACTCAGGTTTGGTCTTTCACAATGAAAAGATATGCAGCAATGTTTTATAGTTTTATAAGAAATCCAATATGCATTTTTATTCATTCATGGTATAATTTGTGTTACATACAGTAGTTAAATAATTTTAAGTTACATTTCTAGACTATACACAGTACAATATATACAGCGTCCAGGTGGCACAAAGAAAAAAAAAAAACATCTAGGTACTGTAGGACTTTTTCCTATCAATTAGGAGTTTTGATACTGGTCTTGTACACGGCAGGCTTCATTAAACACATATTTGCCCAGTATCAGAAATCTTTGTTGTTGTGGCAAGACGTTTCCTATTAGTGCTTTCCTGTACTAATCATACCATACAGTAACACTAAGCATTTCTTTCATATTTCTAATTACAATATACATAATTATTTTAATTGGCTGCATCTGTACATACTGTAGGTCGGCAGAAGTGAGAATGATCGGGTTTTGATCGCCTTCCAATCTTTTGTTTTAAACTCTATTTATGAGATAAATTAGAATTATAAATACAATATAATATACATTTTATTTGTAATGTAATTGTCAGTATTTGGTTCCATATCCCTTTGAGGTAGTAATGGCATGAAGTCTGTATTCCATTGTACTCAATAATTTCTCATGCTGTATGTTGTAGCACCACCCAATAAATACAAACACATTTTCTTCTACATAAGAGGAGTAAACCAATTCATGAAGTAAGAAGAGTGAGCCATGCATGCATGATACTTACATATGCTTCCATATGAAAGCATGTTGATAATGTGAATCCACAGATGATGCGGTATACTTTGGAGCATCTGCCGTTTCTTTCTTGACACTTTAAGCTTTCCATTGGTAAAGGTTTATGTTAGTCTTATCTGTCCATAAAATGTTGTTGCAAAACTATCCTAGTTCATCTTTGTACATCTAAGTAAATTCTAAAGCATGGAGAAGTTCATATAAATGTCTGGAAATTCATGGTTATTTCTGGAAATTAGTCTTATTCAGAGAGCCAGAAACTCTTTATTTCTATATTTAGGCATTAAACAGAATCATATAGCAGACTACATAGAAAACCTGGTATTCATAGTTACATAGAAAATATAGAAAACCATGGTACTAAAGGGTTTAGTTTTATAGCAAATAACCAATTTAATACAGACAAAGAGAAAGGAGAGGATCTCTATCAACAGTTGAAAAATAAGACTCATTCCATACACTTTTGCTACTTCTTGAGGAACAATTTCTCCACAGTTTTCTCTATGTTGACCTTTTCTTTTGCCCCATCATACACACACAGGAAACTGGGCTTCCATATTTTAACTCTGTTGTTTTTTAAGCAGGTGAAAATCAGATCATTCAGACCATTACCAGTAGACCATAAGAAAGTAATCGATCATTTAATACAAAATAAGCAAAACTAGAAGATAAATGACATAAACAGTGTTTTAATCAGCATAGAAGAAATAATCTAAGTTTTTCACTCAGAGAAACAGAATCTATTTTGCCCAGATCTTGCTAATAATCACAGTACTCTGGGAAAGAATGGGTGTTTTGTTTTCACAGTGACCGTTTCATGAAGGTTTCCGAATAACTGTAGACGGACTGTTGTAAGAATAAGCAGCTGTTCCTCTTTGTTATTATTATTAGCCAAATGTAAATGCCTTGGCAAAAGCACTGCTGCTAGCTAGGTTTCTGTTTTCCTTTTGCCCTGCTAAGGCATTATTATCAGTATGGTGATGTCTATTGTTCCTACCTTAATGTAAACCAACTACTACCATAGTCTTATTTTTAGGGTAAACGTTTTCTATGGGGAAATAATAGATTCCTAAAACTAGTGGTACAAGGGCACACACAATGGTTCTTCCAATCCAATGACATGCAGGTCTTTGTTGTCATAAGCCACTTAATTTCTATATTTTAGTGAATTACCAAATAATCACATGGTTAAGGAGCAGGTTGTCCTAGGACACTGGAAGGTCTGGTAGTCCATTGCTACAGTAGTAGCTTTAGGAAAAGTATGGTATGGCATGGTGAGTATGGTGTTATTTACACAGACATTCCTAAAGAAAAGATCCAGGCAGCAAACTTTACATTTATGAAGAATAATCCCAAATGTATAGATTTTGTGCACTGCAATAGTAAGATATCTAAACTATTGTATACATTTTAATTATCACATTACAAAAATATTACTGCTCTAGAATCATTCCAGAGATAAGCAACAAGATACGTTTCAGCTCTTAAAGGGAATGTCCTTTACTGACAAGCTGAATGAACTGAACCATTGAAGTGTTGAGCAGAGAAGACAACAACCAAGTGAACGTCTTCAGAATTAACAGTGCAATACAAACCAGAGAACACAAATGAAAATACATGGAGAGAAAAATGAGACGAGGAGGCACTTTTTGATGAAAAGTGCTGTGGAAGTCTGTAACTAGCTGCCCAGCCATGTTGTTCAAGCTGACACCCTGGTTTCTTCCCAGAAATTTCTGGATGAGTTCCTCAGCAGACAAATTAGCTACCATTGCCTCTTCTTGTTCTTAACTGTTCTTATGTACATTGTTTGCCATTTTTGGACTTAGATGAAACATTTTATTTCTGATTCCATCATTATATGGTCTAAACGGCCTCCATAAAAATTCCTGTGCAATACAATATCAAATTAAATCACCAGTCTTTCTATTACATAATTTAGTAGCAACTCTAAAGTTGTTATACTAAGCAACTTGTCCATATGCATAATTTTAGTGTAAAGTAAGTCAGTTTTCCCAGTAATGTCCTTAGTAATTTGTACTGTATTATCTGAAAGACAAAAGATCTAAGCAAAAAAAGAAGGAATTTACTGTATGTTAAACTATTTTTAAGACATTCTGGTAAAGATTTTGATTAGGTAAGACAGTGCAATTATGGAAACCTATTCAAAGGCCAGCAGTTCTCTGTGATTTAAGTGCCGTAGTTTTGAAAAAAATACTCCTCTATTCAACACTGATACGAAGCTCCCAGACTAGCATTTTTTTTGTTGTTCATTTTCTTTTCTGGCAAGTTCCTCTTCCAGAACAGTGCTTCTTAACTGTCTGCTTTACGCAAAACCTTTACCTTCCATTCTAGTTGTGGAAAAAAGACCAGAAGAATCTTACTAAGAATCTTCAGAAAATAGTAAAATTAAACTAATGATTCTTTTGATGTCACTTGCAATTTAAGCAATTTTTAATAAAGATTCAATATTGCAGCAACCTGCTTCTGTCAGTGAAAATCGATGTGTAACTTGAACTAAATTACAGCAGACTTCCCATATTTAAAATCACACTCATTTTCTGAATTGTAAATGTAAAAAAAAAATCAAAAGAAAATGTACATTGAAGTGCCATTAAACCTCCCTTTCATTAAAGTTGTATATTTCTCAAAAATAAATACAGCAAAATTAGGACTTACATATCATTTTTATTTTAATTCAGGTTAAATAAGTATTGAAATTCTGAAATTATAAACTGAATACCAACAGGACCATTGCTTTTAAATTGTATAACACTGGCTGTATGCAAATGCTTTCTATTATCCATGATGTAAAAAGGATCTTTAAAAATATTTTTTCCCTTGTAAGAAATTGTTCAAGTATCAAAATTCCCAACAGTGTAAAACAGTCCATTTGAAAACGATTAACAATAAAAGCACAAGTACTTAGACTTCAGAAGACAACACCTTCTAATACATAAAGCAGCATTTGTGTTTTTTTTCATTTTTTAAATACAAGGAGCATTGATACATCAAGAGGTCAGCATTTAAAATGTTTCACAGAAAAGCTGCTAAACTAGCAAATATTTATTGTCAATTTCTAAAATTCAAAGGCAAAAATATCACTAAACAGTGCATACGTAATAGTATATACCTAGTCAACATTTTTCTCATTGAATACTTATTATGCTACAGATAACTCCTACTAAATAATTTATAAGCCATGAGATGAAAACATAAGATTAATTTATACAGTACTGCAACTAAGTTTCCTTCCTTAGTGCGCAACATAGTCAAAATGCTCAAAATAAATATATTTTCTTTTAAATAGTATTACAAATAATATAAGGCACAGTAAGAACCACATTCTAATATTTAACCCTTTAAAACGTCAGTGCTGCTTTTAAACAAAATAAAGGTTTGCATAATACATCTTTTTGCAGTGAACAGAAATTTATTTTAACCTATTAGGATAAGAGTTGTATGGTAAGTTAACATACACAAGTCAGCTGAAATAGCATGTTTTAAAGGGTTAAGTTTCACATTTTTTTTCTCCTGCATTTCATTCGAAAAGGCATGGACAGGTGCAATACATAAAAAGAGAAGTCTGTTGTAGTCAAGGGCTGATCCTGTTGCAGAATTGGAATAGCTGACACCAGTAGTTAAAGTTTCCCAAACGGACGGGGAGAGGGATTAAAATGTGACAGCTCATCAAACATACACAAGTGATGTGTTCTTTCCAGAGCTGTCTGTGTTATTGATTGTCCAGACAGCTGCTGCACCCTTTTATTCCGCACTGCTCACTCCAGAGTTCCACTCAGGCAGAACACAAGAGAGAAAGGAACTTTGGTGCCTGTCCATCAATAATTTTTAGCTGTTTTTTCATCGTCGTTATTATTTTGGAAACTGACAGATTGCCTTTAATTGTTCGGTGCCCTTTAAAAAGAGATATCAAACTTTTAGTTTCCTGAAACAAAAAAAAATTGCATAGGTCAAAATGAAAGTCAGAAAGGACATTCAGCATTTGGAAGAGCAAAAATAACTCGCATAGAATTAGATACATCTTATTATTATTTTACAGGCTTATTTCTATTATTCCCTGATCTGCAAATTTGTTAAATTAGCTGAAAAATACTGCATTTCCCTGATAACCAGAAAAATCAATGCACTTGTGAAGACCATACAACCGAGCCCTCAAACACTTTACCAATAATAAATAACTTATCTATTATATCAATTAGGGACATCTCTAAAAATGACCCAATCTTTTGCAGAAAGAAAACATCCATGTGTTCTTTTTATAGACAGCAGGATTTAAGATCAACTTTAACACTACAGTTTTTTGCTGTTTTTGTCTTTTAATAAATATCAAGTATGATAAAACAAAAAAGATAATATTCAGGTTTTTTTTTTATAAAGTTTTGCTTTCAGAATCACTGCAAGTTGGAAAGCCAAGAAATACCCCCCACCCAGCTCTCAAGGCCATTGCGGTTGTTACTGCAGATGTCCAGGTGCTATTGCATACGGTCAGTCTGCAGTTGCTGTGGTTGGTACTGCCCAAAGGCCGCGGCTGCGGCAGCCGCTGATCCAGGAGCTGCAGCTGCAAGGGGCTGCTGGACTGCGTAGCCATAGCCAGCAGTGGTCACGTAGCCGGCTGCTGCAGGGGAAGCTGCATAGGGGTACTGCTCATAGGCGGCGGCGGCGGCGGCAGTGGCAGCGGCTGAATACTGTGCATAGGCAGCACCAGTGTAGTCGATGTATGGAGAGGTGGCAGCTGCTGTAGCTGCAGCTGGCTGTACGTGTGGAATAACAACGCTGGGCTGTACAAAGGCCTGAGGATAGACATAATGGGCAGGGATCCTGCAGGGCAGAAAAAGTAGCCATCAGCATTTTAAAGATACAATACACAACAAAAACTTCAAATAAACCATTACATTTCAGAAAACTCCATGTAGTTGTTATTAGATACATAGGGTTGCCAAAATAGAAATTTATAAACGTTAAAATGACTTCTGTACACAGCTGCTATTGTATTGATTATAGTTTTTGGATATAATGCTGCTGATAAACTTTTGACTCAGTGTGCACTGTGTGTCATGTGCACTTTGTGTTGCTTTTGTTTGCCTTGCTGTGTAAGCCATGCTTAGAGGGGAATGAATGGGCATTGTGGTAATGTCATTGCCATTTTGACAGCTGGATAGTTTTTCTCGCCTACCATTCCCTGGGTCTCATTAAACAAATCCCTTAGGATGTTATGAACAGTATTTGATTTAACAAGCACCCATCACAATGAGGGAGGACCTCCTGTTGCATGCCATCAGTTTATTTCAGATTATTAATCCCTTCGTACTTCACCCTAATCAATATGACTCTCAACCTATTAATATTCACAGCAATGCATTGTATTTTTCACTTCTGATTTTCACCTATTTACATAAAAGGCTATTTTCAAAACCATACAATACAATAGTGCACCAACTAACAAAGGGTAGAGGCTCTATGCCTTCTCCAGAAGTGTTTGTTCTACAAATAAATACAACGGGTTAGCCACTGAGACACTTATGGTAATCTCAAATTAGTTCTAGGACAGCAGGTATTATAGTATATCACTAATATTGAAGAATTGTAAATATATAGCTGTATAAAATAATTTGTCAGAAATGGTCTGGGTGTAGACAGATTTTATAAGTACTACTTTTATTATTAGAGCATTTGTTATGAATGCTCATTTTCACTGTGTGAATATCTCAAACATAGCAAAGCAAAAGTGCAGGTTTATGAGACAATACACCAGAATCAGTTTTTACGATTTGAACTCTAAAGTGCCTTAATAATCCCACAACAAACTGTTGAAAGACATGTTGTTTATCAATTTTACTTGAATCACTTTTTTCTATAATATGGGAAAATGCTCCAATTTCTTACAGCAACAACTTCAAAAAGGAAACGTAACAAATTCCACAAATTTCAAACCTGTAAAAAAAAGAATAGTCTATTATGGCAACCCTATATAATTTGCATACTCAGCAATCCATTATGTAGTTCACAGCTGCACAACCCCGATCACCCTTATTAAAAAAAACAAAGAATGCAGGCGTCACAAAAATGTCAACACAAAATCCACAAGTGTCATATACACAGCAGAATCACTCATTAAAGACAAAAAAGAATACATCTAAAACTCCAGTGCAGCTCTCACTCTGTTTAAATTGTCATCCTTTGACAACAAAGCAGAAAAACTCAGCACTTGTGCATCTCAGTACACTGAAATATCAAAAGCAATGTTATAGTCAAACACTTACACTTACACTGCAGGCCTTCAATATCTGCCCACTTACATAAAGCCAAAAGACACGAGTTAAAGAGTTAACAGATTGCTCAGCTACAAAAGGCCATGATACTTCTTTGTAAAGCAAAGAAGTGAAATATCTGTGTGAACAGCATAACTTAATAAAAAACACTTTTGAAATGTAAAATTTTGACAAGGTTTAACAACTTCCAAAGTAAAGGAATTTACATTTCCCTTACCTGTATATCTGAAAGTTTATTTACAGTTAAGACTGAAGACATTGGAAAGTTACAACATGTAAAGCACAATTAATGGGTATAGTGTTTAAAGGAACAGTCCTTATTAAAATATTTACTGAAAGCCCCCCTGTCTTTGAACATAAAGTATGCAAAGGTTTCTTAAATAATGGGTTGCAAACAGTTGTCATTACTAGGTAATAACCCAATGCAATGAAAATGAATACCTTGCTGATTGGTTTAAAATTTTATCTGTAGCTAAATGTTATTTTAAACTGACTTGATTTGTCTTTCTGTATTACACTGAGAAAATTAATTTATAAATGAAAGTTGTTTTTTCAGATTTTTTATGTTTCCAGAACTTCTGGTAAATTTCACAACGTGGCCCTCTATTATTTACAGGAAAAGAAAAGGCGACAGCAAGATAAATGGCTACAGGTGCTTGTATACAGTTAGCACACAACCCCCTTAAAGTGTTTTTTTTTAAATTAAACTCTGGAGCACAGGGAACAGGTGGTGGGGCAAGAAATCTTATCTGTCAAGCTAAGTCATATGGGAATCAGAAGCACAGAGTCTGGCAGTGTGCTCTTTAGCACCCCACTGACTGACAGGGAGGGCTGAAGCAGAGCTATTTTTATTCTGGTATCATCCAAAAGGCTGTATAAGGTCAAAGGGAATATGTTTCCATACAAGAGATATTCCTTGCATGTTCTGGAATTCCTTTTCCACTCTTAACCCACCCTGTGCCATTTCTTAATCTCCCTCTTGTGTGCACATCAGAGAAAACCTCTTTCTTGTACTCTCATACAGATGAAGACCTCATCTTGCCAAAAGAAAAAATGCTCTGACATATACTTTAGGTTGGTTGCTTTCAAAGAAAAGGCTGCCAAGTATGAAAATTAAAAAAAGACATGTTAAATTATATATCACTTCTCAACATAATAACCCTGCTTTTCTTACCACAGAGTGTGGATAGTTATGCTTTATTAAATTGAATGCCTGTCATTCAATGTCAGGAACTGTCTTTAGTGTGCTACAGATAAAACGTTTATGTAAACACATTCTTAGAAAATTTGCAATTTTCAAACTGGAAGAAGTTTTTTTCTTAATTAGCAAGAACACAAAACATTCCAAACTTACAGATTGACCCAGCATTTGTGTAATACTGCATGCTCCTCAATATAAATTTATTTTTAAGGCTGACCTCAGTGGTCTTTGAAACTTCAGGGCTATATATAGACTCTTTGTCAATCACATGGGTAACCATTAAGGAAATATTAATTCTGCTATTCCACTGACCACCTGTTGTTTTTTGCTGGGTTTAAATCATCCATTATTTATCACTGTGAAACAGATCTAACTTTCCCAATTAATTTGAGAAAGGGAGTAATTTAACATCAACAATGAGTTATACTTTTGATACAACATTTCAATTGATTTTTTTATGTTGATCTGTTTATGTGTATAGCCCTGGTGTTCAGCTACTGTATTGTTAATGTTTCACCTCAATGACAGCCACAATGTTTCAAAACTACTGATTCACTTTGTGCACTTGTGTACTCAATATTTTCTTGGTACAGAAATATGTGGTTTAGAACAGAGGAAACATTTGAGACAAAAAACATCTCTATTGCTTTTATTTCTACATGCTAATAATATAAATCCCCCTTGCATAATAAAGGCCGGGGATGTAATAGTATTAAATACATGTATTTTTTGCAATATTTCAAAAGTCTGATATGTTCTTCAATAAAAACAACACATCAATTATATACGCAGAATATCTGTCCATGATATAAAAAACTTTAACCCTGTTAGTATGCTGTTAGTCTAAGGAGGACAATGCTTAATAAATACCACTACCAGATGCCCCCCAGCTATTCTGTATTACTGTATTTCAATGATTTATAACAAAACCCTCTCTTTCACCAAACACACAACAGTTCCATGTATACTATAAAGATTAAACTCTACAGCGGATTTAGAATCTGTGTTTTTACACCTCCTAACCAATGCCTGACAAAGAGCAGAGCTACAGGAGCTCTTTGGTAGTGGGCTATCTCTACAATGTCAGACATACAGGGAATACACACACTGAACCTGAAGTATTTACAAAGAGAAACTAAAAGGAGACCAGGGAAGCAAGGCATTCCCTTCTAAGGAGGTGACAGTGTAAGCATGTAGTTAATAGAAGGGAACAAACCAACATCAAAACCAAAAGAAATGGAAAGAAAATTCCCGCAACATGCAAGCAACAAGTGAAATATTCGTCATCAACTTCACACAGAAAGTTTGCACTCACTCCAACAAAAAATATTTGTTAAACAACAAAAAAGAAATTGCAGGCTGCAGCATAAAAAGCATAAAAACAAAAAAGACCGTTTGCTCCCCATGGGCAAAGTCAACACTCCTCAACAAAAATGAAAAAAAAAACCCCAAATCCTTAATTCAGCTTTTTTCCATTAAATAAAAGCACACAGTTTAGCTATCAACACCACTTCATTACAGTAAGAAAGCACACACAGGTCTATTGACTATTAAAAGAAAAAACATACATGCATCGTTAATCACCATTTTAGCTTGTTTGTGTGTGTTTGAGTCTACTGGTAACAGTTTTAGATCTGCTCAATGCGGATCAGAGCTATTCCACCTCATATCATCATATCCTTCTCATGACATCAGTTATCTTAACTGTAAACGATCCTGTCAGATCAGAAAGAAATAGATAACATTGAGTCAAGCTTGAATGAGAACATGTGGACTTCCATAAAAACACACCTCTTTGCACAACAAATATTAATGATTTGGTGGTCATTTTCACTAGGCTCAAATTAAGGTTGACAACAGTACTTGACTCAGGCACATAATCATAATAACTTATTCTTGTTAACCAAAACATACTACAAGAAAATTTAACATTTTGAAAAGGAAACAGAAAAAAATAATTTAAATTAATATTTCCACATACAGTTCTGAGTTTCCACAGAAAAAGTTCATGTACAGAATATAGAATTTAGAGTGCTATTTATAAAATACAGTATTCATGTTCAAGGACAACAACATACCCATAAGGCCTCTGGATGAATGCAGGTGGGAATTGCTGAACACCAAAGGTAAAACCTAAAAAATAAGACACGTTTTAAAAGAAACCAATACACCTAATTATTGTATTTTAAATGTAATAAAAAACATTTACTATTTAGCAAATTACACTAAATATACTGTTTACAAAAGCAGTTTAAGATTAGCCATTTGCTTTTTTGATAGCCAACAAAAAGCTAATTTTATGTCAAATCTTTTCTGCACAATCTATAATCCTAAAGCAACAAAGTATTTGAAATGTCAGGTCAAATCAAATGTTTCATCTGCATTTTGAAACAGGGTGAAGTGAATTTACTAACAGTGTTTAAAAAGTTAATATTTTCTTGACATACTGTATGCAGTTTTATTTTGATGTATTGATTATACAGTTACACTACTGCATCTCACAGATTTGAAGGATCTGAGGGATTTAAAATTCTTTTGACACAGATTAGATCCTCAGCCATCTTAAAAGGAAGTGGTCTACTTACCTGGTTGCATTACCCTTGGTTTAGCTCCTAGATACGCCAAGTTGACATTTGCTTTCCTGCCATCTATGATAGGATTGGGATCTTTACAGGCCCTTTCAGCAGCAGCTCTGTCAGCCATGGTGACCTCAAAGACACAAACAATATCATGAGAACCCATTCCTACAATGGCGATACAGTATTTATTAAGAAATACAGGGAATAAACACTCTTATTTAGAATTGTGAACTCAGAGAACACTACAGAGAAAGAGAATATACCACTACGCATGCTGAAAACTGTTAATCCCTTATTTTTTGCTAATAACCAAAATAATATTGGTGTTTGGATGTGCAAGCGTATACACTATTCAGTGCTGTTTAAATTAGGAGTATGGCTATTATAGATTTTGCAGTCAATCTGCAAATAGTGCATTTGTAATTTAGTATGATTTTGTAAACTAATCTTACACGAAAATTGTGTTCATTCTTTAATAACCAAAAAACTAGGGGGAAACTCATATCCCTACAAATAAGTCCTTGTTAAATGACTGAAATATTTATATCCTTGTTAACCCACATTTAGATAATTTTGGATGACAAATTATCAGCAGAATACCGGAACATGATGTAAAGGCTTATATAGTATTTCTCCTTATGTATTATTTTTAAGGTTTACACGCAAGCTCAATAACACTTAAATGAAATGGCTCAAAATGAAATGCAATGACAGTTATGACGTCAGTATTTAATTATTCTCGTTCAGATTAGTAAGCATCTGCACTTCATAAACAAACAGAAGGAGCAAACAGAGAATGAACAACAGTAGTTTCCCCATGTTTTCCACCACGGCAAGTTATCCCGAAAGGTATTATATATCTGCGTTTGTTTTAATTATTCGCAAGCACAGTTAACCATCATTGTTTACTAGAGGAACAAGTAAATATTTATTCCCTGCTGAAAAGAGAAGAAAAACAACGTTTCGGCAGTGGAACCTTCTTTGGTTGATATGGTTTACTAGAGCTACTCTTAACATTGGCCATCTTAACGCAACTTGACGGAGTTTTTTTCCTACATCACCTTTTTCAGGTACTCGGTCACGAGACCTTCAGCTTTGCACTAAAACCCCAAAAGTGTGGACGAAAAAGAAACATCTCCGAGCGCGATTTTGAAGGTCTGATTAAAATAATCAATCTGTTTCGACTGAACACTTGCAACGGCAATTAAAATTGCGGATGAGCATATTAAATACTTACGAATCCATATCCCCTGGATTTGCCTGTTTGCCGGTCAGTAATGACTACGGCTTCCTCTATTTCACCAAACACTTCGAAATATTTCCTGAGACTCGAGTCCGTTGTATGATAAGGTAAACCTCCAACAAAAATCTTGGTGTAAGTAGTGTCCTTCTGAGTGGTGTGCATCTTCAGAAAGCAGTAGTGCAAAACAAGTCAAAGGAAGAAAAACAGTGCCACTTGTTTATATCAGGTATTAATATTCCTATTAAAAACAACTAGTAAGTAAATAGAACCGGAGACAGAGCTTCGAGAACAAAATCGAGGTAGATGAATTTTTAACACTGGAAAAAGAATAGATTGTCCAGAACAACTGCGAGCAACTTTGCTTCCCCTTGATTCTGTTGTATCTGGTTTCCCCCTGACCCATTCCTCTAATGAACTCATGGAAACTCCACCCTGTTTGAAAGCAGAGGGAGGAATCGGACACAAATTCCTCCCCACCCACAGCTCACTTCGGCAGCCAGCTGTTAAAGCGCTGAACGGCTGGTTTGTTCGCTGGGTAACCACTTTGATGGTGAGGCTATTGTCAATTCTAGTGCTCCTTACAATGGTCACTGATATAAGAGCTTGAATATTATATATCATATACCTTAACTCAATCCAAATAAAGTTAACAACTGTTTGTCCAACTGCAAACGTTAAGTTCATCTTATTAAACATAATTACAGATATTTAGACAGAATATAATTGTACTGTACCTTCCTTCAGGTACTGTACAGTTGTCAGGTTGTGTTATGTTGAAATGTAGTTTGGACGCATTGTAATGTCACCCATTGCTGTGCACAGTTAATTGTTAAAATGTAAATCAACACCCAGTAGATGCTATCTGACAAACAACATTAAAACTTCATGATGTGTAAATAATTAACTTTATGTTTAATTTTAATTTTCAGAATTTAGTTTTTACTTGCAATGGACTGGCACCAGGGTGTACTTTCTCCCTAAACCCTAAAAGGATAGGCTCTGGGATATTTCAACACAGGTGGCACAGTGACACAGTGTGTTACAGTGTTGGGGCCCTGAGTTAAATTCCTGGGGTGATATACATGTGAATTTTGTATGTTCTCTGTATGTTTGATGTTCGAACAACATGTTGGTACTGTAAGTTAATTGGCTCCTGGGATAATTTGACCTTGGGTGAGTGTGTACATGTCTGTTTCTGTTTGTGCCCGGAGATGGACTGGTGTCCTGTTCTGTGTGTATTCTACATTCCGCCCAATGCATGCTCCAGATTCTCCATGACCGTGAGTTGGCTGAAGCAATGAGGAAATGATTTAAATCATCATCATCATCATCATCATCATCTTTATTGGGATCTCACAGAACTACTGAATATGGTAATTGATGGTATATATCTAGAAATCTTAAGTCTAAAATAGGTTTTTACTATTTTAATATCATTTTAACCAAGCAAAATATAACATGATCAGACAGAGTTTAACTTCATGGGCAAACCAGTTAAATTGGTAGATTAAATTTGTGGGTACCTAGGACAGGCTCCCCAGCCATGTGGTTGAAGTCCAGACTGGGCTCGTTATACTAAAGGCTGGATGAAATTTTAAATGCACTTATCTACTTAAAGTACTAAGCTAGTAATTTAAACTCAATGGTGTCCTGTTATTTTCAGTCTTTCTTAGACTCATCTTAGACACATGTATTAAATGTGTCTGTACATTTGATTTTGTGATTTTTAGAAAGCCAACTGTGAAAGTAATACCATTTTTATTAATAATAATATTGCTAAATTGCTTAATATTAAGTATTCCTATGTAACTACGGCTGCTATTATGCTGCTAAAGAATTTCTTGCATTTACGACAGTATATAGTGTTTATATGACTTTTCATCTCAAAAGATCCCAAAGAACTTTCCATATAATACTGTATATGATGGGACCCACTTCATCATTATTTAAATGAAGCACCCACCTGAGTGAAGCTGTTCCACTGCCGAATAGATTAGGTAAAGAAGTGAGAAATTGCATTAAGGGAGAGCACATTGTGCTTAATATAACAATTAAATAAGTAGAATTTAGTTAGGAGTAACACCTCTACCGATGGAGTAGCATATTGTTTACAGAATATTCTTAGCTTGGAAATAAACTCTGTGACAGTAGCCACTATTTATATAGCAAATAGATAGCTAATGACTTACCAATGATTACCTAACAATTGTAGATTAGTGTTTATCATTCTAAACACTCTACCACTATTGTGTTAATACTTCTCTCCATGTATGACATCACTTTCATCCTAGGTATTTCAAAACGATGAAATTATTTAAGAAAACTGTTAGCCAAACTGGTATGGAATATGTTAAATATTAAATCTTTACATTTTTAGAGTGAACAGCAATACTATACAGTTTTCATACTGTATGTAGTTAATATTTGACGACAACTCTTTTAAAGTAGCTAGCCTGAGGGGTCTGTCACCTGCAGTTATCTGCTTTTGAATGTGGTCAGCTATTATTTGGATAAATAAACCAGTAGAAGACAGTCTGACAATCTACCAAATGTTACTAGCACCTTAATCCAGCAACTTGATCAAGGACTGTATCTTGTGGCTTTGTAAATTATTCATTTGGTGCCATATGCCTATCATGCCAAATAAAAGTAGGTGCATTAAAGCAAGTCATCATGTTACAGAACATAACAAAGAAGGCCAGATTGTGTTGCTGGCTACTACCTTAGTTTCATTCCATTTTGAAGCAGCACCTGAGGAACAGTGGACAGGGAGCAGAACTGCTTTAGCTTCCATTTGAAACTTGCTGTCCAGAAAAGTAAGCAAGAATCCAGAATTAAATTTCCTGACAATCTTAGAGAAAAAATAACAAGTTCAAATTTTGAAATGTGCCATTTTCTTAATTTTACACAGGGTAATTATTAGATTGAGTTCTAATGAAAGGCCAGGAGGGATGTTGACAGCTGAGCTAATTAAACAACCTGACAGAATTGCCTCAGTTTCCCATACTAAACCACACTTCACCCTCTACTCCTTGCTTTTTGCATCACACAGTCCGTGCTCTACTCCGATTTACCATTACCTTAGCGCATCTCACTTCCCCATAGATCTTCATGGACAACAAACTCTTAGGTAGTATCCAGGAATTTCCTACTCACTACAATAACCTTCTTCTTCTCTTTCTGCTGTAAAGCCACCTCAATCACCTGCCTTTTCTCAGCACAGCTCATTTCCCAGTCATACAGTACCTTGCAGGCTTCTACATATCGCTAAAGAATATGATTATGATACTTATTCATTGCTGGCGAACTCTCCAGGAATCCTCAGTCTCAGACGTAAACATTTGCAGCGCAGTATCTGTATTCGCACCTCGTTCATCCTGTCATCACCAACTCAACTGTAACAAAGCTTCAGAGAATGCTTCAACTGCATGAAATCCCTTTCAAAAGAAATACTCACTTCCAAATGATATTTTTTTCTCTATAACTAGCTAATATCTACAGCAAGCAAGCTTCAGATGTTCAGCATTCCTCTGCACCCTCTAATGATGTCACCCGTGTTGGTAATCCCATTCTCAGCTCCGATTTGCATTATGTCATGATCAACCACACTCTTTCCCTTATCAAGATGGTGGGCCCAGGAGCTTGGCATGCTAAAGTTGACATCTCTCTTATCTCTCAAGACATCACTCGATGCCTCTCAACCCTGATTTCTTGCACCTCTTTTGTGTTTGTTGGTGACATAAATTCTACATTGTACTTTGCAATTTGTCTAACCTTTGGTTGCAAGAATAGCCAAAATATCTTTGACACTTTAGCTGAATCTTTCTATTTTGAATAACTACAACCTCCTCTTTCTTATCCTTCTCAATGATTTGCCTTATCATCAATTTTCCTCACACACCCTCAGCAAGAACCTCATCCACCTTTATTTCTGTTTTCGGAAAACTGGGGGTGTGTCCCACCCTGGACAAAATATCTGGTCTATCCCAAATTACTGAATTCGTCAGGATCATTCACAATTCTATTTTTCTGCTTCCCTGCCTTACGACAAGCTTTTGTGCACATTTCTATACACTCCTCTACTAAGTTTTACACTAAAAAATCCCTGCTGGGCCACCTTAATTACACTATGCAAATCATTCCTCAAGCCCCATCATTTTTTCCTCCCATCTTGATTTCACTTTTTCACTGTCCTTCCTTCATCATTATGTAGACATTTCTGCAAACTGCAAAACTGAACTCCCGTTATGGAAATTGTTCTTTGCCAACTGGAAAATCATCTCCCACGATTTCTTGATTTATCCAACTCCATGCAGTTTCACACCTTATCTGGAGCATCTCCTATCGACTCCTTGTTTGTTCATGAGAAAAACCTTGACCCAGGCCTGGTTTCTCTTTCACCTCCATGAAGTACTATTAAATGCTGGATTTCCTCCTTAACAATTCTCTGGTCATTCCTTCAGGATGGGGGTTGCTTCCTACGCAACTTGCCAAAGCTTATGTTATTAAACAACTTGGGTGTAGGTCCTCAGAGGCCTATCACGGATACATTAAAACCTACTCCAACATCCTCAAATGAGCATTCTTCCTCCTGGAATGAGTTTAGGACAATGATCACACCTTGTCTTCTCCACTGGTGGTTGGGGTCCTGCTTGATTCTTTTGGGGGTCCTAGCCTCCCCGTCCTATGGCCAGGAGGTGGGCCCTCAACCAAGAGGTTAAGTTTTTGCAAAATTCAATAAATTAATCTGTAACTCCACAGTCTACGGCTGCTATCATTCCTCATTAATTTATTAAGTCAGTGATTAGCTGAGCATTGCTTAGCTAAAGAATGCTGAATTGGTCTATTTTGGATAGAGAGAGATGTTGAATGATCACACTGAAACAGGCAGGGTAAGACCTACTAGGTTGGAGGCAAGCACTATAAAAGTGGAAATTAATCTTGCTGCCCACAAATAAGTCTATTAATAAGATAGAACTGAGGTTTATGGTGTTGATGATGAAGATCCTATTGACCTTAGATCCATAACCCTGAATAGGTTTAAAGAAGTGAGTCAACCACACATACATCAAAGAACCTCAGAGTGTTGCCATAAGTTAGATGTCTGGTTCTAGAGGTAACATTGCTCTATTTGTATAACATTGGGAGGCCTACATAGTTCAAGGGTGAAGGACACAGTCTCCTCAAGTAATGGGGTGTATTTGTGTGTTTTGTTGTATTCTAGTTTAAATTCATTATAACATTTTAAAGTAAAAGTGATATTGTAAGTATTTTCATAATTTACTATGTGGGACTTCATCCCAAAGCATGTTCAATATATAGTAGGAAAAGACACACATCATGAACCACTGAAGTGCATCATTTACCTGGGCTCTGGGTGTCAGCCATTATGTAGCAGTAACCCCACTACAGTAATGTGAGTGGAGAAGTG